GCTCCGTCCCCCCACTCTGTCCCCCCCGCTCTGTCCCCCTGCTCTGGCCCCCGGCCCCCAACAGCCTCCTGGGGCCCGGGGGGACATCTCTCCTCCTCCACCTCTCCATCACCCTGGCCCTGGGGGGACCAGGAGGTGCCTCTCCTCCATCCCTCCAACCCTCCGTCCTTCTGTCCCTCCACCCCTCCATCCCTCTGTCCCTCCAGCCCTCCACCCCAATTTCCCCCTGGGGACAGGGCTGTCCCCAACCCCCATGTGCCCTAGGGCCGTACCCCCCAGCTCAGCACTCCCCATGCCCCCTGCCAGCCCCTTTCATCCCCTGTCACCCATCGGGGCGCAGTGAGGGCCATGTCCCCCCCGAGCAGGGCCAGGCCATGCCCAGCTCTGGGGACAGCGATGGGGCGAGGGCTGGGGGCACAGGGGGAGGCCGCTGCCTCGTGCCCACCCATGCACCGAGGTCCCGGGTGCAGTTTTGGGGTGCACTGACCCCTCCTGCCTCCGTCCCAGCTCCATGTGGGACCCAGGACCCCCGTTCGCCCCTCAGTCCCACCAGAGCGGCTGGAGCGGCTCTTGATGCCTGAGCACTCGGGAGGGATTGGAGGCATTTGCCTCTCGCCTTGTAATTTATGCAAATGGGCTCTGTAATTAGCTGTAATTTCAAAGCACGGCTCGGGGTTTCAGACACTCGGTGATGAGGAGATGCCCCCCCGGAATGGTGTGATTTCCTCCCCATGTGTGGTCCCAGCCGGGGCTCCAGCTCCGCTCAAGGCGGCTCCAGGACCCCCTGCCACCCCCAGACCCACGGTCCCCACGGTCCCCACGGTCCCCATGGCTCTCAGCCTCCCTCTGCCCCCAGCCACATCCCGGTGGCTCCTTCCCCCCCAGTCCAGGAGCGGTGTTTTGGGATGGGGTCCAGAGGATTGTGGGGGGGCCGTGGGGCTGGGCGCTGGTGGTGTGAGCAGGTCAGGGCCTCCCCAGGTCTTTGTCCCTGTCCCCAGAGGAGACACACATTGTCCCACATCCTCCTGCCATGCAGCCCCTCTGTGGCCCAGAGGCTGGCAAGGACCGGGGCCACACCAGGAATGGGTGGGAGAGGAGCCATGGCAGCCAGCACCTGAGACCCCCAGACAGGGATCCACCTCCCTCCTGCACCACCAGTCCCTGCAGCACTGGGGAGACTGGGAAGAGACCCTGGAGAAAAGGGATGCAGCACGAGCCATGTCCCCACCATGTGCACAATGCCTCGAGAAAGGCACGCCATGGGTCCCCGTGGTGGCACAGCCGGGATGGGGATTGGGATCAGGCTGGGGATCGGTCTGGCTGGTGCCTGGAGCTGCACATGCAAAGTCTGCGAACTGCTCCCTGCCCCGCAGAGCTGCTGGCAGCCCCGATACGGCACCTGGGAGGCAGCCGGGGAGCCCGGGGCCACTACCCCAGCCCAAACAACGCTCCGGCGTCCCTGAGCTGGAGCATCCCCCTTCCCTGCAGCCATGGGAATGGCCCCCGGCACCTCCCGGGTGGGCGCAGGGGAGGAGAGGCGGCAAGACCCCGGAGCTGGGGTCCCCCCACATCCCCCTTGCGCCCCAGGGAGCACCTGAGCACCGGAGCGCATGTTCACTGCATGTTCACCCCCATCTATTTACAGCCAAGCCCCTATCAGCAGCTTGCGCTGCCACCTGCCCTGCCCCTGCCTGTCCCCATCACGGGGTCCCCATCCCGGTGCCCAGCCAAGCCGTGGGGCCACACTCACCCCACCGGCAGCCACGTTTCGGTGGCGGCGGTGGAGCCATCCCTGGGATGATGAAAACCAGGAGAGTTTTCCCCTGGGCGAAGGAGTTCCCTGCGCCCTCCGCCCGGCCAGGCGCTTGGCAAGCACGGCAGGGACGTGGGCTCCCACGCGCCAGCACGCCGGGCTTGGCTGGCCGGGCTCGCGGTGCTGCCGGCCGAGGTCCCGGCTCTGCTGAGGCACTAGCACCTTTTCGCATGGGCTTTGGAGCGGGGTGGGTTTCCCCCGGGGTCCCCGCAGGGTTGGAGCCACCAGCAGCCAGCCCTGTGCTGGCCCAGGGATTTTGGCCGTGGAAATGGGGACACGACGCCCCAGTGATTAACTGGCTCCTCTGGCCGCAGCGTTGCCACCTGGCAGCTCTTGGGGCTTCTCCCTCCCGGCAGCCCCTTGTGCTGGCTGCCTTGGTGGCAGGGGCACGGGAGCTGGGAGGGTTGGACACCCCTGGCCGAGCGGGAACGGGCTCAGTCAGGACCTCCTGGATGCTTTTGGGGCGCCCTGAATCCACCTGGGTCATGGTGCGTCCTGCCATCAGCATCCCGCTCCCTCCTCTGTGGGTCCAGCTCTGGCCCCAAAACTTGTCCCCTGTCCCCATCCCATTTATCCCATGGCACGGGGCTGAGCCGCAACGGCGCGGGGGGGACAGCGAGCCCCCCACCTGCAGG